TGCAAAATTGTTATCCACACCTGCAACTCACTACACTGAACTAATTGCACCGTCAGCTGCATCCCTCACTCACACTTGTATCATCAGAAATTCCTCTGAAATCGGAGTCAGTTAATACCAAATACCACAAATATAATGTTTACACTAACCTCCAGTAAAAAGACAATTGCACATAGTTACACAGCAATATCTGTCTAAAGTTGAGCGTTAGTTACCATAAATAACTGATCAAACCAGACTAACTAAATGTGTGCCATTTAGTTGCTAATACATTCCATTTACCTTTGTAGAAGTAATACTCTATAATGTCTTTCTTGCTCAGTTTAAAATGGCACAGGAAAAACTGCACTTTATGTCCGTGCTTCTATGAAGGTGTGCGCAAGTAGTTGTAATCCATAACATCAGATATGCACATTTATTGACTGATGCAACCTCCTTTCTCCATTGGCATTAATGCAACAACATAACCCTAACCACAACAAAAAGTTGAGGTCTAGCAAAGTTTTGGATGACTGGCTTTTAACCATAATGCTTTCCAGATTAGATTGATTCAAACATGCTTACCGATAGCTTTTAAACCTTGCAAACTTGCCTCTTTTTGAAACAATTAATCTGGTGAGGAGTACAATTTAGAAACAAATGTGGAAAATAGGCTACTGATTATCCCTTACATTTTGAAATCTCCTCAAATTGCTTTAAATGTTAATGAGGTACCTTTAAACACCCACATTAGATTGCAAAGTAATCTTTTCGTGTGCTGGCCCATGGGATACAATCTTCTCTTGCTTTGTTGAAATTGTACTCCTGTAAGATTGTACTGCAGGCATTAACCGAAGATCCAGTACTTTGCATTTGTGTCTGAAGCGGTGTCCCTGTGTTTGTCTGCACATGTGCTCTTGAGAATCTGTCTGTGTCTCTCTCAGGCTGAGAGTCTGCGTATAAAAGCTGGACACTTCTGTCTTCGTTCTCAAGGTAGTACATGGGTAAACAGAGATAGCTGGTCCCAGTCAGGGCTATGATAACGACTTGAGACTTTGGTTATTGTTGCCTCTCCCCCTGCTGCTGCTTTCACATAGCTGAAGAACACAATTATATCTACTGCCATTGTGCAGTGTTTCAGTGTGTGTGTGTGTATACGAGAGATTGTAATGCAATCATGTGTATTTTTTTTCTTTTTAATTAGATGAGTATGAGACAGAAAATGACTGAAAGAGTTGGATAAATTAACGGTAAAGCTGCTCTGCTTGTCTGAGATGTGAGTGAGTACAGCTGCCACTCCCATCTCTGCCTCATTTTCACTTTCTCACTCGCTTTCTCTCTCCCGACCGCCCACCTCCTGTCCCCTGCTTGCCATCTCAAATCTTATTTCCTGTTGGCCTGTCTTCTATCCATTCCTGCTCTGTGTCAGTGTATCAGACTAATTCAATATCCAGTGCACAGGCACACCAATGTAATGACCCATGACATTCAATTAACTCTTCCCCCTTTCCTGGGTTGGTTTGGTCAGCGGTTATTTGCTTCGTTTGCGTGTATGTACCGAATCGAGGAGTGGGTGCAAGTTTTAATTAGAAATAGCTTGGTAGCCATTGTACCCATAATCTATATACCATAACATGCTGTGTTTGCAGAAATTGCAGTTTTCTCTGAGTGATTGTTGTGAGTTTTGGAAATTTGGAAATTTTACAACAACGTGGACCATTTATTTGAGTTCCCACACCTCTACTTCAAAGAACGGTATACATTTGGTTGAGGTTTCCACGCTGATGGCAAATGAAAACTGTCTGTCAGTATGAGCTTATTGACTATACTTTCATTATTCCTGTCTTCCGGGCTTCGCATTAGCAATGTCGTCGCCTCTCGACCAGCTGCCATGATAATTGGATTGGTGTTGAGTGATTACTGCATGTAATTTATGGGGTTATTATGTGCATGTGGTACAAGACACACATATATCAACATACTGCAAGCAATTGAAGCGCACACACACTGAAAAAACCGTTCAGAGTGACTAAAATGATGCCGGCACACACACTCTTCCAACACACATACCCGCGGCTACCTTAGCCTTGTGTAGCCTGTATTTGGATAAACTGAGCCTTTATGAGCTTTTGCTCATTATGACTGTAATCCAGAATGGATCATGCATCATCAGGGACTTCCAATATTTAATCAATAGCCTAACATGAATAATTTACAACTTACTGTGCTGTTACAGCTAACACATACAGTACAAATGTGTGCTTTTTCATTGAATTGTTAACAGACTTATGCAATCGCTCATAATTTATGGAAAATGATCCATATAACAAATAAATTACCAAATACAATATGATTATTTTGTTGCCCTGAGGCCTTTCATTAGTCAAAAAAGCAATGAGAGTGATTTTAATTAAAAAGGAGGATACTTAAAAAAAATGTACATCACTATGGGGAAGCTAGGTCCACTGTTTTCTGGCAGTTCTTTCAAGTAACTTTTTTTCCACATCCTCCCTTCTGTCACTTACTTTGTACCCTCCTGCCAAACGGAAGCTTCACATATTCTCCGCTCTTTATCTATTCTTCCTTTTCTCCTCCCTGCCTTTATTTTTTAAAGTTTCCCATGTTTCTGTCCCTTTTTCATTCACTCCAACTCTACCTCTGCCTCTCCGTTTTGGTAATGATCTAATTAAGAAGGGTTTTGTTGCCTGCGCCCTGTGTATAATTACCAGTGGGGTCTGCCTGTACCTCACTCAGCAATTACATGCAGCATTCTTCTGCTCCCAGATCGGCTAATTAAGCCTTTAAGGACAGCAAGCCGATTGTAGTCACATTAATTGTCAGGAGGAGTCAGGAATGCCTATGCTCTCCTGACTCCAGGGGCTAATAGTGAATTGAAGTATGGTTACCATGGTTATAATCACATGGTGTCAGATTCTGTGCAAAGGCTGTCAGTCAGTTAATCTCTGTGTTTTCATACGTGTGTAGATATCTGAAAGAGACAACATTTCAGCCCCAGGTCACTAGTTTGTTTCATTATTAGGGCTCTATATGAAGACGGGATAGGGGCCGTTCCTGTTTAAGCTGCTTGCTGGACTGGCTGTCATTTTGATTGATTGCATTGCCGGCTCATGCAATCCTTGCTTTGAAATAAACCTACTCAGCATTTACTGGAGCCGGTGTCGGGTCAGTTAAAAGTTTATTTAGAAGAAATAACTGAACTGATACACAGAAAATACCAAATGGTTTGTCCAGAGTCTTTATGCATTTGACATTTATTTTGTATCACAAACGATTGTCTGGAATTTCATGTTCTGATCCTTTTGCCTCAACAAAACAGCCACTTTAATTGGAAAAAGTGTTGCTCTAAAGACTGTTTTTTTAACATATTCCCCCTAGAACTTTATCTTCTTTGACTGTTACATTGATACCAAATAGGAAATAAATTGACAAATGAAACACTGTTACACATACAGTACCTGCACTGTGTCAAATATTTGCATCACAATAGAACATCAGTTATAATATAGTTAGCAACATCTAACTCAGGGGCATCCTAACAAATGATGCATTAAAGCATCCTTCTGTTGTGCTTGTTTCAATAAATATGCTGCACAATTAAATACTGTTGTATACCACCTAGGGAAATGTAAATGCTGATTAACATCTCACATCTTGAAGTTTGAATTCAATAATTTGTTAAACCAGAGCTTCCGTTCAACTATTTATTTGTTGTTCCTTTCTTTTCTTTGTACTATACCTATAAAGCGTTTTTGAGCACCTGTAAAAGCGCTAACAAAATAAATCTATTATTATTATTATTATTATTATTGTGCTATATGATTTCTTCATGGCAGACATTTTTCTCAAGTGACAACATTTGCATGGAAATTGCAAAAATAGTTTGTACCTATTTGCTTGAGTCTAAAAAATGATATTTCCCCCCCAGGGCTCAAGTGTTCATTTAAAATGGAACCGAGCTGCGCAGCTCACTCAAATCTTGCTGTATTGACTTTTTTTTTTAGACATATTGGATATTTTATTAGGAGGCTTTTCGAAAGTCCTCAAAGGTTTTTCTCCCCTCTCTTAATTTATTTGTTTTGACTCACTTAGTTCTACTTTTCAGTAAGCTTATTGTAAAAAAAAAGAAAATAAATGGGCAAGCAGCTCTGATTTCTGCTTCTCCAAGGGGAACAAATGAAACATGGTGGCACCAAATGGAACGTGTTTCCTTTCTCTGGGCCTATCCAGGGTTGTGACGACAATTAAATATATTTTAAAGGTCTGGCTTAGCAAAGCAAATTGAATAAGGTTAATGGATACAATAGTGCTGCTTTTCCTCTCATTGTACCATTCATATTTGCTGTTGTTTGGTATGATTTGTTGCTGAGACTGCAAAATAATGAACTGCATATTTACCTTTGTTATAACACTTAATGTCATAGCTGCATATTAGCCATTCATTATAATGCTTTTCCTCTCCTCACTATAACAATTTGGGCAGTTAAAACTGGTGCCCTGATGTACAGTATACTTCAATGTATCATTTGCTGTGTTTTGTTGTGCCTTTAAAGTATTACAGGGTTAGTATTACATTTGACATAATGTTGCAGGGTTTACCTAAATACTGTTACACATCTCTTAGATAAATTACAATCTCAGAGAAGTTACAACATATGTATTGTTGTGTACACGTATTTCACATATTCTGTACCCTTGTGTCCCTGGCAACCAAGCCTAGGCTGAAGTATTGTTTTACGTGGCTTATTGAAAATCTTTACTCAAAGAGGCAAATGATTGTTGTGTTTTGTCTTTGAGTTAAATTTGGAGGCCAATTTATTTCAACAAAAATAAACATTCTGGCCATGTCAGGGTGCATTTTCAAGAGCCTTATCCAAAATGACCAGACACTCTTACTTATTTCATTTGAAAAAAAAACAAGATGGCAGAATGATGACTTACAATGATGGATAGATTTGCTATATTTTACAACAATCTTTAACAAAGATTTCTGTTTTGTGTAGGCTGCCAGATCCAACCGTGGCATAGTCGATGACTGAGAACTCCTATTCCTATGATGGACAAGAAAAGCGGTGAGTTTTTAATCACACAATCCCCTTACATTTTGGGGATGTAACTTGCTATGTATTTTTCTGACCAAAAGCAGTAAAGGGTTTATTGGCTAAATGTGATAACTGTCCAGCCTTATATTTTATTCCAAAGTTAACACAGCATGAGCAGCATTTTGCATATTGATTGTTTTGTTTTTACACAATCACAGCATAATTACTTCCCAGTAATTGATATGATAATACATAATGAAGCAACAGTGTGCATCTCAGGACAGACTGTCTGAACAAGTGGGTGCAAAGGAATAATAATGATTTGATATAGGTTCATTTCATCAAGACATTGCACATTGCTTTCACAAATCATGGCCGTGAAGTTTCCATTATTGTTAATGTCAATTGTCTTATAGTAGGGGAAGGATTCTTCAATTAATTGTTAATTCCTTACAGCCAACGGCTTTCAGACCAAGGCCAGCGAGGGCGGTGTTCAGAGGAAGCAGCTGCCCTACTCAGTGGAAACTCCCTATGGCTTTCACCTAGACCTGGACTTCCTCAAGTATGTTGACGACATTGAAAAAGGCAACACCATCAAAAGGGTCCACATTCAGCGAAGGGTCAAGGGCCCAGCCAAATTCAGTACTCTGCCCAGAAATTTCAGCCTTCCTGGGCATGGAGCCAGGCCAACCCCCAGAGAAAAGGATAGCACATGGTCTGGGACGTCCACCCTTGGGCCCAAACCTAAATCACGGGTGACAGAGGTCCAACAGATCTATGACTTTAGAGCAAGTGAAGGGGGGAAATCCAGTCAGAGCAGCAGGGGGACAAGCAGTCAGGGAGCTGTCTATGTTTCAGAAAAGCCCAAAGATGAATCAGGAGCTGGGGCCCTGGCTGTTGAAGAGAAAGCTGTCGGGTTTCAAAGTCGTCCTAATCTGCTCAGAGCATCAAGCATGCCTATCACTCTACAGCAGCGGAAAGGCTCGGATTCAAGCAGTCCAGACCGTAATGCTGGAACACCAGAAAGTGGCTCGACAGAAAACATGTTTCGAGCTTCACCGGACATAACAGACAGGCGGTCTCTTCCTCAGGATCGGGGAGGGCTTCATCAGCAGATCACAGTGGCACTGAAGCGGGTCAGAGAGCTGGAAGAGCAGGTCAAAACAATCCCTGAACTAAAGGCCCAGATCAGTTCACTGAGAAAAGAGAGGGAGGATCTTATGATTCAGATCCAAGCCCAGATACAAGCCCAGGCCCAAGCCGAAGCCCAGGTTTCCACATCATCCTCTATAGTAGCATTACATTCAGATTCTGGGACACACTTTCAGCCACAGGGACAAAGACCTACAGAAGGGCTCAACTTAGCTCTGAAGACTCAACCCACTGGAGGCTTAGATGCTTCGGAGCGTTTGTCAACAAAGTTGGTAACTGGGAAAGGGAAACATGGGGCTACAGAGAAAAATAAAGTCTTACAAAAGGAGGGAGAATTCAATCAGGAATCTTTGAAAAGTTCCTCAGCACATGTAGAAATCAGTGTGTTGTCAGAGCAACAATCACAGATACAAACACAACAGTCGGAAATATCAGACAAACAAAAAGAGACATTCGAGAGTCCGATTAAGCATGCAGTGCAAAAGCTATCGCGGGATATTGCAGGACCAGAATTAACATCACTTAGAGTGGCTATAAAAGATGCAGAGACTAGCAGTATTGGCGATGGGGATGAAGCAAAAGGTGGACAACAGGAGGACGCAAACAGTATGCCGAATCTACAGGAGAAGCTAATGATACTCGAAGCTAAACTTACTCAGGCTAGCCAAGACCTGGAGAGAACTAATACCCTTTTGAAAGAACAAATAGATGAGAACAAGGTAAAAGAGGAGAAAATACTACAACTGAGTGATGGAGTGAGAGTGGAGTTGTACAGTCCAGAAGCATACAGCATGCCAAGACGAGAAAGTATTGACACAGGGACAGAGACAGAAACATTAGATTTTGCCAACCAAGAGACAGAGACAGAATTACCTGGTACAGTAGATAAGGGGACAGATACAGATATAATTTGTATTGAAATGTGTGTACCCCAACCAATGGCTGTAAGTATAGATCAAGGAACAGAGAGTATTCAAGTTGACACACCTGAACAGGTAGCAAAGATGGTGGCAGAAGCAGCTGCTGTGAGCCCACCAAGACCCAGAGCCAACAGCATCGAACGGGGCACAGTAACTGAAAGGATCGCTACTCAAGATCAGATGACTGAGACGCCTACAGCGGAAAGGGTAAACCAAGTCACAGAAACCGAGGGAGAGATAGAAACAGACCATCCACAGAGACCAAGGGCCAGCAGCGTAGAGAGGGGTACAGTGACAGAGAGAGTGGACACTGTCGACAGGGTGACCGAGACAGTGGAGGCACAAAGGACAGACCAGCAGACTGAGACAGAGATAGGAAGACGACAGGATAACAATCCATCCAGAGGTGCAGAAGCAGAAAGTCAAGTGAGAGAATGTGCAGGTAGTGAAAGAGTAGAATATGCAGACACTGTGGTCATTGAAAGAGTGGAAGACAAGGAAGCAAATGAAAGAAGAGGCAGTGGAGACAGTGAAAGTGTGGTAATGAAAGTTGTCACTGAGATTGCAATTACAGCTAAAGAAAGCACATCTGAACAAATTCTAGTTCCGAAAATTGTTAGTGAGGATGAAGGAAGTAGCAATCCACCTGTTGCAGAAATAGAAAATACAGAATCCAAGATTGAAATGATTATGGCACAGAATGACTCAGAAATAAAGGAAATGGAGCCCCTAAATAATGAAGTAACAGAAATAATTGAAACACAAAAGGTTGCACCGGAGATTGTAGAGGAGAAACAAATTAAAAAACATGCGATTGTGAGCGCAACAATCAAAGAAACTGTGGTCACTGACATAGTTGTTGTAGCAGCAGCAGAGAATGAAGCTGTAAAGGCAGTAGTTCCTGTCCGACCCCAGAGAGGCCGAAGGCCCTCAGCGGAGCAAGCACAGCCATCACCTCCATCACCTCCTCAACCTCAGGCTGCACCTGTCCGTCCCAGTAGAGGGTCCAGTGAAACTCTAGCCCAGGAGTCCCTGACAAAAGATCCGCCCCAGGTGCAGGTACAGGGTACACCTCATATAGAGGCCCAAACCCCAATACAGCAATCTGAACAACAGGTAAAACAACAAGCCTCATCTCTATCTCAGGTTGAGGACCAGAGCCCAGCAGAGAAGCCTCCTGGGGAGTCTAGTGAGAAGCAATCTGAATCACAACCTCAGATTGAGACTCAGGGCCCGTCTCCAGGCTCCACTGACGTACAAACCCATCCTAAATCCATTAAAGCACAGCCTAAAACCTCTGCAGCTCGACGGGACATAAAAGAGCCAAAAGCAACACGTGGATCAGGAGAAGCGCATACCCGTCCAACCCGCCAGGGGTCATCTACCGCCAAACCTCAGTCTCAGGGCTCTCGCAGAAGTTCCAGTGAGACTCAGCCCCCTCACAAAGATGTCAGCGAGACCCAATCACTACGTAGAGGCTCCAGCGAGACAGCTCAGCGTCGTAACTCAAGTGAAGCCCAGGCCTTACGTCGGGATGCTGGGGAGGCAGAGCCCTCTCGCAGAGGCTCCGGTGAGTCACCAACATCGCCTGCCGCTTTGGGCCATGTTGTAACCCGATTAACAGGGCTTCTGGGCGAGCAGTGGGCACAACTGGGGAGCAGCACTGGAACTCAACAGACGGCCAGCCAGCAGGAAAGCCCCAGCACACAGAAACAGACACCAGGGAAAAAAACAGAGGCAGCGAAGGGAGCAAAAACCAAGTCTGCGGGGAAGGCAGTCCCTGCAGCAACAACAGCGAAACCAGGAGGAAAGCCTGGTCCTTCCAAAATGAGCTCCATTCAAAGTCAACTGGTCAGCTCCCTCAGTGTCCTCTCTGCCTTCTACTCACCAGGCCAGAAAGCTGCAGCAGCCAGCAAACAGCAGGAACAAGGTAGGCCTGTGGTTCAGTTAGTAGCACATGGTTTATACTCTCTACACATTTGATTATTTGTCTGTCTTAAACCTGCCTACCTATATGTAATCAACTCAATGAGCAGAATCAATTCCGTATTCACAGAAATGATCCTCTCCTTCTCTCTTTGTAACATAATACAGTATAACATGTTCTTCAGGTCAAGAAGTCTTAAATCTTTATTAAAGTGTACAATGCAGTAGCTTTGAATCTTCATTTTCTCTCCATAAAAAAAATACTCCAAAGAAGCAGCCAAACATTGCCACAATGGTATGACAGATGTTATGGACTTTCACAATGTATGTATTTCTTGCACAGTAGAAGCAGAAGCACAAACTCACAGGGAAGTACACAAAAGCACTCTCAAATGGACACTGAAGCACATCAAAGCGACAATGCCCATTCTCCCTCCCTTGATGTCACTGTTCAGTTTCTGGCCCAGGAGCTGAAGAACAGAATCACTCTGCTATCGCACATATTTTATATTCAGAGTTCAATTTAAGTTTAATCTCGGGAATACAATATACAAAAGTGATTTGAAGTAGATTTTGAGCGAGCATGACTAATTATGTTATAGTAATATATTATATAGTAGTTAGAAGAAAACTCAGTGTTTAACTTTTTTTAAATATTAGAAAAATAAACTTCGATTGTTGTGTAGAGCATTCTTACTTATCCCAGTCACCAGAGACTTAAGTTAACCTAAAGAGATTTGTATGAACGAGTTAAATATCTCAGCGTCTCTGACTAAAGGGATGTTAAACTACAGTTTTATTTACAGTATTAGAGGATGGTAGGAGGATATATTAAAATGCAAAGTATGTTTTAAACTCTCCCTCCCACTGTGGCTATCTCCTCAGGGATACTGGATCTAAAAGCATTCTTCTTCCTAGATGGTGGTCTCAGCTAGTGGTTTCTGGCTCAAAGCCACATCCTTATGTCCTTGCATAAAACATTAAAGTGCCTCTGCATCATGTCTCGCTGTCAGGAACAACTAAGACAGCAATACCGGGCTTAAAGCCAAGGAGAGTCAGCAAAGGAGCCCATGCAGCATCAATTAGGCAGTTATACACATTAGTAGGCCTGCCAATGTCAAGGTGGTATGTTGTCATAATGGCCTATAATCATCACCTGTGAACATTGCCTTGATCGCCGAGGTGCTGAACATTTAAAAGCCAAAATTACTCCAATAGCCAGTCAATCTGATTTAATGTACTTGAACAAGTTATTCAGAGTCTTGTTTTCAGTATGTCTCCCTTGCATAATCCTTAAAAACTTAATGAACTCACATTAAAACACATTTTTATCAGGTATTCTGCAAGAAAAGTTATTTTTGCTTAATTGTATGGTACTGTTCTCTCAAATTGGTTTTATTGTTGTCTTGTGTAGAGTCTAAAAATGGTCCCCAAGCTACAATCTATGCCAACACATGGAATCTACACAATTTGTTCAGCTACAGTTACTTGTAATTGCATCCAGAGGTTCTTTAATATCATCCAGCCTCACAAATGTTACACATACATTGACACACTGCTTGTTTCTGTAAACACAGCCAACATGTGCAAACCATTATTGTCTGAAGTCTCATGAGCTACCAAAATCTGTTTGATATAGTGCTTAAACGTAACCTTTAGACATTCTTATTTGATAGATAATGCCTTTATTTTGAAGCATCTAGCAAAGGCAGATCTGAAAAATTATAATACGAGTCACTGACAAAAAAATACCGTCTTTTGAAGTATGAGAACATCTTAGTAATGATACAGAATATGAATGTTCGGTCATCTTGGGCACACACGTATACAACACACAAACACTAACATTCCACAAAGGCCTAATGAATTTTACCACCCTCCCTCCCCTTTTCTTTCCATTTCTCTTTCCTCCTTTCCTCCAGGTCTAAAATCTATTATGAAGAAAAATGGTGTTGCTGACAAGCAGGGGAACAAGGGAGCGAAGAAAAACCTGAAGTTTGTTGGGGTGAATGGAGGGTAAAAACTTATTTTTAATCAGCGTCCAATCTCTCAGTTTGACTCGTTTTCTCTGTGTGTGACAAAGTGTTTCTTCTGCCTTTTTTGTGTGTCCATGAATGTTTTGTTTAGGATAATTCCCTCAGGTATCTTTTGTCAAAGTGGCTACATTCAGAATAGCCAGTAGACAGTGCAGTAATATAATTTAAGTATACACTTTTCTAAAAAGTCCTTTACAACAAGTTATATTATTGAGATGTATGTGCTTGACCTAAGACAGGCTGTGTCTCACACAGGCATCTGCTTCATGATGTTAGTTGTCAAAGCTAGCTTGAATACACACTTAACCTCACTGCTGCTTCCGGGAGTGTGAATGTTTGTTTGTGTATGAAAAGGTGTTGTACATTGTGATGTGTGTGCATATTTTTGTCAGTATTGATGATACCTCAGTTCTTGGTGCAAGTGTGCTTATGTCAGCGTTTGCTGATGCTGGATCCCCTCGTAAAAGCTGATGAATTCTAGGTAAGCAGGTAGTAGTGGTTGGAAGAACAAAGGTGTGTCTCAAAGCAGGGAGATTATTATTTATGGCAGCTTTGTTAGTTAGCTGTCTGGTTTATAGCTATAACATGAAGCACATGGATACACACAAACACAGACATGCATTGGTGGACTGTGTGAGGATTGACAGACAGGAGTTTGCTGGATGATTACCATAACCTTAACTTTACCTGCTACATGTGTAATCGTAACCCTTAGCCTAAACCTTTAACCAAAACCAAGTCTAGTGCTAACATCAAATTGGTTGTAGGGAACAGAGTCAGGCACCAGTTGGCAAATGGGACTGTGCAGACATACTTGTTGTCCTTACTATGTTCATAAATGTGAATACCAACAAGACATAGACAGCCACCGAGCTAAACTCACACACTCACATTCCAACTAATAACCTCAGTTGTGTATTTTAGGTGTGTGTTATTTCTGTGTTGCTGTTCTTACATTCCTGAGTGGCACTGTTTTATGACCTGCTCGTCTTTGCTATGTTTTGTCAGAGCTGTGATGAGGTCTATTCCTTCTTCCCCATTTTAGAAAACGCTCTGCAAAGATAACCGAAAAACCATTCTCCAGAACAAATGAATTTTAAATGTTATTGTTTGTAAAGATTTGCTCAATAACATTGATATGTTATACAAGATTGTCTACATCTAGTTTGTCTCTTTTGAGTTTGTAACCCCCTTTACTGGATCTCTCTCCATTTGTTCCAGATGCTATTTATAATGAGATAAACATGTCAGACAACATTATTTTCTCTGACTATCTTTAGTCTTCTGCCCACAACAGGAAGTGGGCTGCTGTTTGTATTTCTTCTCTTTGGACGGTCTAACCTATCTTTGCTCTCCCTTGAGCTCCCGTGGAATCCAGGGAATGCTGTGGCCCCTGAACGCCTCATGTGGTGGGCTGTGTGTGTGTCTACAAATAAGCCTGAATCAGAGGCATTCAATATGAGACTTATCTGATCATTGGCCTCACAGAGGGTCCTTCATTATTCACCCCAATGATCACACACACCAACAACCACCCCCACACAGCTCTAAATATATCATCAGCCTTTCCTCACTGAACAACGTTGGGTTTCTCCAAGGTTGATAAATGAGTGTGCAAACATGCCATTGGATTTTAATGTATACGTTTCACTGTGTGAGGGATGTTTTGGATATTTGGCCAAGGTTGCATTAGACAAGCTTGTTTTTCATGTCATGCTCCAGGTCTAGAGGGTAATGACCTGTTCGTATTTATCTAGCCTTGGCCTGTGTTGACTTTAATGCTCTCATATTAGTTTTACCTGCTGAAGTGTTTGTGATGTGGCTGCTACTGCACACGCAGTTTTTTTTGTACATACCTTTCAGTGTTGTAACATGAGCTAATGTTCAAGTCCATGTATAATATAGGATGGATAAAGATTTTTCTAAAAAGTATTTTTCACATATTTTGCTAGGGCTATTTTTTGGTCACGAGATATCTATCACAATACATTAATAATGTAAACATGACTACATTAAAACCTGAGTACAATCAGAACAGTGGAATCTGCATTTGCCTTTATGACAGTCCCTGTAACATCATACTGTAGCAATAGTTTTTGTGCAATTTGGATCTTTTCATGTAAACTGTTTAATTTAAAATTGATAGTATGTTTGAGAAGCAATACAGTATCACAACAACATAATATTGCAAAACTCAAATTGTATTAATTTGTGATTGTTGCTTTATCATTGCTGGTATAATATGGATGCTTTTGGTGTCTCTGAAAATGGTGTTGATGTCCACTTGTTTGTGTCCACCTCCAGATATGAGTCAACATCCAGCGAAGAGTCAAGTGGAGATGAGAAGTCGAAGGTGGAAGTGGAGAAGCAAGACAGCTCAGAACCAGAGGTAGAGAAGGAAAAGGAGACGGAGCCTCAGACAGAAGAGAAGCCTGAAGAGGGAGCAGAGACCCAGCAGCAGGAAACAGAGGTGGCCCCTGAGGGAGGGGGTGCAGTGGCTGCAAAGAAGGAGGCTGAAAAAGGCCTGCTGGATCCAGAGGGCAGTGAGGAGCTCCTGGGAGAACAGGAAGAAGGGTGAGACAGAAGAGCTTCACTTGGAGTGGTTTATCAGAGTTTAAGTAAAGCTATGGAGCCTATACTGTACATGATACCACTGTAGGGCATGCTGTAGAGATACCACAGGGTACCCAATTAACTATGATTGGTCAGCATGGACTGCTTTCTGTTGATGGTATATGTTGTTGATAGTGAAAAATACATTAGGGCAAAAAGTCATCCATCTTTTTTCTGTACACAAAGCAAACCAATCTGAACTGCAAATCTTCTTGTTACTATGATCCATGCTCTCCTTCACATTGGATAAAGAAAAGTAAACGTGGAAACTTCAAAGAGTAGTCTCATATATTTAGAAATGGCAAAAGTGAGATCACTGTAGCGTATATCAAAGTGAATGAAAGTTCACAGTTATTGCGTCAAACAAAAAGCAGATAAAGCACAATACAGCCATAGAAAACGACGGTGTGACGTATGATGTCGGGGAAGGACAATAGGGTGCTTTGTTACCCAGCAACAGCACAGATACTTGTCCGAGACAGGTGGTGAATGAAGCTTTAATATACAGTGGGCCACACACACACACACACACACACACACACACACACACACACACCACACACACACACACACACACACAACACACACACACACACACACACACACACACACACACACACACACACACACACACACACACACACACAACCCCCTCCGTTCCAGCCCCCACACACCCAGTCATTACTACCTACACTTACAACCATGCTTATCTTTTGATAACTTGTAAAGACTAACTGCCACACTCTACACCTTTGATTCATACATATTCACACTAAATACACCTGTTTCCACATACAGAAGGGCAAACCACAGGTATGGCTGGTGACTTTATATCTTTATATAACATTTTCGATATCGTATAGATTTTCCTATACAACTTCTATCGATATATGTGAGGTCTTTATTAATTTGTCCTCTTTATAAAATGTCACTAATTTATGTTGACTAAGTAAGCAATGACGTTTTTTTAAATGAGAAAATCCTCAACTATTTAATTCACACTGGAATATATAAAAATAGTATTTGTTCATGTGGTTATTTACATTGACCATTTATTTATTGAAATAACAGAAAACGACCTAACCTACTTACATTACTATCAAGATATGAGATAACCTACAGTATGTTGTGATTGCCCATCACTACGCACAAGCACACACAACTTCTCCGTCACAATGTAGTAAAAGCTGCTCTCACTCTTATAGAGGACTAAGACAGACACCCAGACAAGCTTAGTTCCCAAAAGGGTCTGGTAATAAAAAAGCAAAACAACCAGCAGTGTTGTTCTCCCTGTCACTGACTGATCACTTATCAGTCTCAGGTATGTGGACAGAGCAGAGGGCCCCTGGGCCACACCGTAGATGGGGCCCCTGGGAGAAGGCAGGACTTATTAACTCATCACTCAGCTTATGTCTGATCATTCCTACGCATGTGTGCTTATAAAAGAATGTGTGTTATTTCTGGAGTACAGTACACAGTGAATGTGATCCACTCAGGCTTAGTGCAGCTTGACATGTACAGTATGAGCACCTGGTGGATCATATTTGGCAGTGAATCAGTGTTAACCGTTGAGGAGGTCTGCATGTGCCATCCGTGTGTCAGAATGTTGACAGATGTGTGTGTACACTACACAGGCCTGCTACGTATCTTTTATCTTTAGTTTTTTATCCCAGACAGACTTTACACAAGAACCTATGTAGCCGTCTCTTGGCCATATGTTATGAAGACTTGATGGTATTTCCACATGAAAGCTGAAAAAACAGTAAAGAAAACAATGGAAAGAACAGATGTGGAGTGTGCTGGGTTGTTTTTTCACTTCCAGATACTCCTGGTCAAATTGAAAGTTCTTTACTAAAATAATATTTAGAAAAATTACTTAGGATGGGAAAAAATACTTAATGTGGCGTCTGGTCTTTGTTTGCAGAGAGAAAGTGGAGCAAAGCTTCATAAATGCCTGCTTCTATGTAAAAGACCGCATGGAAGAGGTCTCATCCCCAGATAAAGAAATGGTAAGAGGATCTTTTGGCTGCTGCTTTTTTTGTTATAAAATGATTCTATATTCTTCATCAAATCTGATTTGACTGCATGTTTTTTGGTTATTGGATTGAGTTTCTTAGACCCTTATAACATGGATTTCTCTTGAGGGAAAATGCTTCAGTTTCATGGTTAAAGTTCTGCTATAGCTCTTTGATTTATTAGATTAAAAAGGCTTGCAGTGCTATTCCTCAGACTGACAATGCACGCCACTCAATAGCCCACACCATAAAAAAGGATGTTCAGGGAACAGTAACAATTCTGCCACAGGCGCCTTCTTCATTTATATATCTGTTTCTCTCTCCAGCGTCAGGTTTTAGTGGTGCTCTACCAGGAGTGGTTCAAGATTTCCAGTCAGAAAGATTCGCAAGCCGATACTGTCAGATTATACCTGCGACAAGTGGGCTTGACCACACCAACTCTCCTGCCATATGTAGTTAACTTGACTGATGGCAATGGGAATATGGCCCTCCACTACAGTGTGTCACACTCAAACTTCCCTGTGGTCAAACTGCTGCTGGACACTGGTAAGATGCACACAATGACAGAAACACAATTTGAACCAAAGATAGTAGTCAGATGAGGCTGCTTAACTATGCACACAATTGCACAAAATCCTCTTTATTCTGATAAAACATTGTGTTTTTGTGTGCTTCAGGTCTATGTGAGACAAACAATGTGAACAAGGCAGGCTATACTCCAGTGATGCTGGCTGCACTGACGGCTGCTGAGAGCCCTGATGACCTGGAGGTGGCACAACAACTGTTGAGACAGGGTGACGTCAATGCATGCTCGAGACAGGTAATCTATTATCTCGCACTGACTCATTGGGGTCCCAATATCAACGGTTTTTACTGTGTTGAGGTTTTATAGTTGTACGGGAAGTTGTTGTCAAGGCACAGTAAGCCTGGGAATTTCTAAAATACCCTGGGGAAATTAGTCCATGTTACAAGCAGATGACTTTATATATATATATATATAGAAATTGTATTCATTGGGATAAACCCCTTGAGATGCACCATCTCGTTTTCAAGGGGGTCCCGACAATAGCAACAACTTACAGACATACATAAACAAAAAGACAAAATGCAAAACATGACACATGTTTATAGGAATACACAGAACAGAACTAAATGTATAAATGGTATAAGAGCATATTTCCTGGATATAAACACCCAAGTGTCCCTTAACCCTTATTTGTACCACTTTCTATTGGAATAATTTGTCTTAGGAAAACGTTTTATTTTAAAATAACTTCTGTGATCATTTTTGGCAGTTTTGACTTGCATGCAGACTTATAGTCCAAGTACATACATATTGGTTCAATTTCAGAACACCTGAATATATTTAAATGTTCCACATTAACGTACATTCCCTACATGTCCTCTTTATCTTCCTCTATTTCCTCCCTCATCTCCAACCCTGCATCTCTTTATCTCCCCCTTATAACTTCCATCTCACCATTTAATTTGAATTCTCTGTATCTCTAATTTATTTTCCAGGCGGGCCAGACGGCCCTAATGCTTGCGGTGAGCCACGGCCGCGTTGCCATGGTGAAGCTGCTCCTGAGCTGTGGTACGGATGTAAATGCCCAGGATCGCGAGGGCTCCACGGCCCTGATGTGTGCCAGCGAACACGGACACACAAACATCGTTCGTATGCTGCTGGAGACGGGTCGCTGTGACATCAGCCTCATTGATAAGGTATGCTGTTGTTGAAATTACACAACCAGATTCTCATCCAAGATTGTTTAAAGGTATCAAAGGTGATATGCCTTCTGTATGTGTTCTCTCTTCTCTGACATACAAGACCTCCTTGCAATCATGTTCAGATTGCCCATGCTTTCGCTCCAGAATTTATATCCAGTATTTTGTCCTTGAAGCGGTTTATTTTATTATTTTTTTAAACGACTAAACCGAGGCATTTTTGTTTTTCGCACTTCACTGCACTCATGTTAAAGCCTTAAATCCCATGGTTTAGCTGTTGCCTTGCTGTGTCGGCAGGTTTACAAATAATCAAAATGTTGCATCAAATCAGAAAGCAGCTCAATCCAGACAAAGACAAAATTAAGAGGTTGTCTCTGTAGGCAAATTATGTCCTCAATGTGGTTTCACCTTTACCTCCCTAAGTAGCCATGTACAATTGATAGCAATTGAAGCCCATGAAGTAGCTCCGAAAACTGTCCTCTAGCTTCAAATGGCAATTTAAGGCTAGCTCCAAAAGGGAGCAATCTCCATATACCCCCATGTTAAAATGATCAACGTTACAGCAGAAATAACAATGTTTACAGCCTGGTAAACCAATGGTTTTGGTCTCTATAGCTATGTTTCCCCTTTAGTTTAACTGTCCAGGGGTACATTTGAATATAACTCATCCATTTTAATTATATTAAGATTTAAAGTAAATAGCACCAGGGACGTGGTGGCTATGAGCGTCTCAGACCGAAAGTAGCTTGAGTCTACTCCTCTGCATCAACCTGGCCGGTACCAACTTCTTTGACAATTCCTATTTTTGGATTAGCACAGAGTTAGACTGATGACTGGTGATGTCACTGTCAGAGCTGCCCAGTTATTAGGAAGGCCTAAGACTTCCTGTCAGTGCTGCTTTATTTGGACAGTAAAACATACTTAAGGGTGAATTATTTATTAAAACACTAGTAATCAATGCTTCATCTCAAGATGCAGTTATTGGCTGCTTGTATTACATACAGTAAATGGTCACATGGCCAAGGACTGGCTCACACACTTTCAAATGTGTCTATATTTAGCTGCTCCTGCGGCCACTGTTAGGTGTCCAGTAAAGGTTTAGAGAATACAATAGCTGAAGCCTGGCCCACACATGGTAGATTGATTGTTATACCTATCGCATTATTGATTTCTGTGGATGGTTGATTGTCCACTGCAGCCCGAATTGGCCCGTCAGAGAACGGCCATATCTCAACCTTTCCCTAACTCATCGTAAACAGTCCAATAAACACTGCTGTTAACACTGATCCTGCTGCTTACTAAGCATTTCATAAGCTCGACCTCCACACCTGAATATAGTTGTTGGCTTTGATTCTTGTTCCAAAGGATGCAGATATTGTCACACCTTATACAACACAATATGTTGATGCTTCCAACACTACCGTACCATTGAAGCATTTCTACAACACTTTTTCCAGTCCAAAACACCTCACCTAACTTAATTATCCCCAATCACTAGAAATCTGTCGTACAAACTATCTGTAGATTGTCAAACCTGGATTTGACTTAATCACATGGGTAATTGAGATTCATCTACCATCAGCCATGTGCCTCTAGTGGGTTAAGTACTGTGTGACTCCATGACAACACATATGCACTATACTGTAATTGGAGCTGGTAGGGGGTAAAATCATCTCAAAACTATTTTATATTATATGCATGACATTTCAAGCTGTTTTTGTGACAGGTTTGTGCAAACGTACACAACACTGCATTAACACCGTTTCGAGACATCTGTATCACAATGAGTCATGAGGTGTCTGTCAGTATGCAGCCTTGTCACGTCTAGTTTGCTGTAATTTCTAATATCAAGCATTTGATTAGAAGAATAAATACAATACGCAAGGACACACACAGAGAATTATGCAGTTTGTTACAAACAGCTTTATAGAGCATTGACAGTTCACTCAGCACTGAAAACGGACTACTTTGTGTCTTAATTGAAGTATCAGTATCCATCACACAACCCATCTCAATCTAGCATATACAGAGATGGATTTGGCATTTTCTGCTAGTAGATCATGGTTTGCTCCGTAAGTAATGAGAAGGATTAGTTTCATGAGACAGCTAAAAATGTGTCAGCTGTTAATCAATACATCTTTGAATATAAACGAACAAATAAAAACTTGAGTGTCCAATTATTAATAAGAGCATTACAACTAAAAGCATCAATGTGATTAGCAATACTTTGCCATACTATGTGATGGCTTAAGCCAAATAATTCTTTAATTGGTCGTTTAGCTTTTTAAAATGTGTTTTTAGTGCCAGTATTCATATTGCTGCTGTATAGAAGATTTAGATTGTATTTACATTATATTTTTCTATTTGTTCTTTGAAGTCTTGCATGCCTTCCGACATTATTCCCCCATCTTTCCCTCATTATATTCTGCATAACTCCACCCAGGCTTACTATATAACCCTGGACAATTTCACAGGCAATTTCAGCATGAATCTAAGAAGCTTTGCAGCAGATTATTATGATCTTTGCTGCACATTTTGGTGTGTAATTTCTGTAAAAGATAATTAGATCAGATTGAGAGAAACGTGACAGATCATTCCTTCATCTGGTGTATCCACAAGAGAAACATTCAAAACTTATTTCCACATACTGAACACAGCTTTTCAAATGATACAGTGTAGCATTGCCTGCATTAGGGTGCAGTATAGTATAGGCATGTACTATAATAATAAGTTGTCAGAGGAAGAGCAACACAACACTGCCACTGTCAGGATAAGAAGAGTCACTACAATGATCGTTGATGTGAAACTGTAAAGTGTTCTCGTTTTTTTCCCCTCAGAATGGACAGTCAGCACTGTCTGTGGCAGAAGCAGCCTCCCACCAAGAGATAGTTGATCTGCTGAAGACCCACGCTGAGACCCGTGCCTCTGAGCCCTCGACTAACGCAGACCTCCTCTGAGCCAACACTGTTTACGTCTCCAAACCACCAAGGCCTCCTGACTCCCAAACCTTCAATTTACAAAACCCACCAACCAAGACAGAAAAGGTTGAATTGAAGATGGTAACACCTTACAATAGTCTGAATGACCAATGGAAAAAAAGCTGTGTTTACTGTGGAACTACATTTAAACCTCTGAGACTGGAGTGTCCAACAATGGGCAGACATATTTTTCTTCCACATCTCTGCCAACATGCCCTGTGGGTCTTTATGGATATGCTGCATTAACCACTCAGTGGATGGACAACAAACACGGCCCGGTTGAATAGATGTTAAGCCGCTGCCATGGTGACAAGTGTGATTGACAAGGAGAGATGGCAAGAATATAAAGTGGGAGCAGGGATGGACGGACTGGCAAGAGATATTCTGAAAAACTTGCTGCTTCTTATCATCAACTAGCTCATCAAGCTAAATGCTATAAGCACATGATCTACCTTTCAAATATATTGTATATGACATTATTTCTATTTTTTTCCTTCATGACATTGACATCATTCTTTCCATAATTGGACATAAGCCATTATGAGAACATATAGTATACGTATAGTGTTATTCTAAACAGATTATAAATCATAAACAAACACAGAAACTGTATTTTCTACTGCACTTTTTTATTGTTATTGTCAGTGTACAGTTAATAGTCCTCAATATTATTAGTATCGGTGTCCACAAGAAAGTATATATCTCCAAAAGTGTATCTGTATAATAGTATAGAACTCATGGTGAAATTTCCTATCATTCAGTGGATATTTAACAATATTTAATGTATTGTTTGTGCCATAGTATTGATGTTTTTCACATACGGGACATGGGTGTTCGTCATGTGTGAATTTTCTTAATACAAATGGTTTAGATGGAGATGGAATGACACAAAATAAATGATTTTTTTTATAACCACAATATAACCAGATTTAAGAAAGACAAAAGTCTTCTAATGCGAAGATTGTTCTGTTCGGAAGGTGCTGCATGCCAATACACAGTTACTCCCCCTACTGGCTGTCTTAAAGTACTAAACAACAGTATGTTGTAATACTGTCTGTTCCCATGACCGACATCTCTCTCTTTCTGCGTCCCTCAGTACAAATATAATATATGTATTGTTCGCCTGCTCGTTTAAAATCAAATCTTGTATGCAACTGCTACAAAATGCACAATGAATGTCAGGCTGGCTGTGATACATTCCAAGAAAACAATGTAGCAAGTCTAACTATACCGGCATGGACCATGGGACTAACAGAGAAACCGACTGTCAGTTCAGACATAGGAATGAGTCTGAATATATTTTACCATGCGCGACTACAGACACTTAATCTCTTAAAATAAATACAAAAGATCTGCCTGTCTTCAAGTTACTCACACTGGTTCATTTTGTTCCTGCCTCATATTTGAAAACAGTAAAGATTTAAAAACCTTAAGCAATGGGTTGTTAAAGGCTTGCAGTCCTAAAAGAAGCAATATGTATGAAATACTATTTTTTAAATTAAAAGAGGGGAGTGACTTCGGTCTATAGCCTTAATCAGAAGACCATCCTACATTTTAGAGATAAGATGTGTTCCAGGGAGTGTTTTCTTTTGTTTCTGTTCTCCACCAACCTACACCCATATTTCTAAAGTATATTAATATACAGTCGTACTGGTCTGAGAAAATGTTTACAACCTAACAGTTGCCCTTCAGTGACCCCTACAGGAAACCCCCAAATGTTCAGCAGTTCTGGAGATTACCATACCATATCATTGTGTTTTGAACACAAGCTTTCCTAAAGTGAGGGAACTCCAAAAGACTCTGGATAATGCACCAATTACCATAATGCTACAAGTGGTATTGTTTTGTTTGACCCTCCCTGTCTGGTACATGCTTGAATCTTTCATACTCCATGCCCCAAGTTTGTAACACCCTAATGCCATTGTCTGGGTTACTTAATCTGATTTTACAAACCCACCAGAAAACGGTTGTTTCTGTTTGCCTGGGGATTGCTGGGGTTACTTAAGGTGGAATTTAAAGGGAAATACCACTCATTATAACAACTGCCAAATGGTCGATAACAGTCCAGTCTGCATTTACAGTCCAGTCCGAAAATAAATCATATTCCACAGAAGCAAGATTGTGGTCCAAGACTTGGATCACATTAAAAGACTCTTCAGTATCTGTGTCTGAAAACTCAAACAGCTTGACTCTTAATACTTTTAGAAAGATGGATTCCAAATACATTGCTTTGCTTCAGTCATAATACATTTATATTACCATGAATACAGTATGTAGGGCGGATTTAACAACTTTCTTTCTGAGCTGCGGTGTGATCGGACCACTGAAACGTTATTAATATGGGTGCTAATATGGGAGTAGGACGTATAATAATAATACATTGACATGAAGATATATTTATTTCATGAAGAACATTGATTATATAGAAGTAAATGGCCACAATGAGAATGTTGGGGCTTAGCGATCAGATCATCATTTGTTGAGTCACAAAGTAGCACAGATTTGCTCAACAATGATGCTGCATTTACACAGGATCAGAGAACATTTATTTTTAAATTAATTCAGCACATTAAGGGAAATAAATTAGAGTCTGTGTAGCTTCCCTTATGTCACACTGCTAAAGGATGATCCGATCTGTGCTGTGGGAAATATCTGTTACATCTGGTCTTCCATGCCTGTGTATTAAGTCTTTAAACAAATCATGTCGTCCATATGTTTAATCCAGTGTGACCTAGATGTTATTTGGTTTCATAGCTGGCCAAACACCAAAGAAGTGAAATGAAATCTGTTCCACATGGGGTTAAATATATAGTTTCTGTTCCTGTAAATGTACCCAAATACATGTACATACAGTATCGTGAAAAATATATAACAAGTATTGTCTGACAGTTTGCTCTAAAAATTATATAAGTATTTATTCCAAATGCTATATTTTTTACCGTATATAGTATACTTATGTATGCATGGACAAATATTCCAGTGATACTGTTGGAGGGGAATTTGAATGATTGAAAATGATGCTGGGTGTTCCCTCATGATGTGATTATACAGCTTATCTTTGACTGGTTGGGTGGTATTGTACATGTGCGGTGTTGACAAGGTTGTGGACTGTGTCATGTGCCCTTTATTGCTACATTTTAAATTTGTGGGGAAATTATAAAACAGATTAACACTGGCTAAAAGTTAAAAGGGCAAAGTCTCCCTTGTTTGGGTAACCATCTAAAAATCAAAGTCTATGTACATGACAGGGTCAAGATTTAAAAACCTGTACCTCTCTGTAAAGTTCCTTGTACAATGGGCTTATATGTTGCGAACCAGAGAACTACTCTGGAATAAATATGAAGATTAAAAACTTGTTTCATGTTCTCGATTATTTCCAACAAATAATAGCAGCTACTGATAAGTTTAGATGTGTTTATTTATTTGTTTTTTGCCTTTGTTGTCAGTTATGCAATCAGTTTGGATGTGCAAAAAAAGAACTGAACTGTTTCTAATACAAAAACTACATTTCAGACAATCCAATTTACTAAACCTTGTTTCATTATATCCGGGAACCTCAATGGCAGATAAATATTAGCAGGCAAATTACTGTATAGAGATGGTAAGATCAGGTTGCATTACATTCATTATTTTCAGCTTAACAAGGGAAAGACAGAACCAAATAGTGCAGCTTTTCCATCACACACATCAAGAATGTGTGAGAATTCTAAATTTGATGAATATCAAATAAACTAAATTGATGGATATATTTTGATTTGCGTAATCTCATCTCATGACTGATGTGAGTGCAACTGTATGATAACGCTTTATCTTTAAAGCAGTTTTTTGAATGCAGTTATCCATGTTAACATGCTGCTGTAACATTGTTTTATTTTCACTTTGGGTTTTATAAAGTATATTTAATCTAATGTTTGGCTCTCCGCTCCAACGCCATGATATGATGTAATAAGAAACAGTGGCCAGCAGATGGTGGTATTGTAGTGTGGTAAGAACACTAACTGAGGGATTTTCAGGTCTTGGATAATTGAAAATGGTTTCACACCTTCCTAAAGGAGGATTGTTTATCAGGCAGAAATGTATAAACAACACAACACAAAGGCTCTTACTTAATCACTGGAGGAAGAAATCATATTTCTTAGTATGCATGTATATTACATATTTAATAACAAGTACAAGTCCAGAAGTCCTGGCAAAGATATTACATAAGGAAAGTAGAAGTTGGCTACTGAAATGCAGAATATCGGTGTCAGTCAGTTAAACTAGAACATTGCACTCAAGTTTAAGTAGGCCTACTAATACTTTAAAGAAAGTTTTCTTAAGTAGGCCTACATTTTGAAGTACCTAACCTATTTAAATAAAAATGTAGAAACATTGGTCTATTAAAATATACTCTGCAAATACTTGTATTGAAGACCATATTTAGGCTACAAAAAAGGAATACCATGGTGAAGTTAGTTTTGGTTTTTGATATTCGACAGACATGTATATATATAAAACCTATATATATAGGTTTTATTCTGTAATACACAGGATAAACACACACATCAGTTGAGCTAAATAAACAGTGGGATGTTGCTCAGTCCGAAGCTAAGAATCATTTGACACTGTTATGATCATATATGCCCCTTTCACATCATCGCGTTTTCAGCTCCGGCTCGGAGCTGGAGCCTGAAAAGTGCCGGTTTCTCCTGTTCACACCGCAGCGGCGCCGCCTCTTAGCTCCGGAATCCGGTTCACTTCCAGCTCCAAAAAATTGTCGGTCTAGAGCAGTGTTGGGACTAACGCGTTACAAGTAACGCGTTAGTCCCGTTACTGTAACGCCGTCATGTTGGCAGTAACTAGTACTCTAACGCATTACTTTTTATTCAGTAACTCAGTTACCGTTACTACATGGTGCGTTAATCCGTTAGTTTGTTTATATAGTCCACAGCCAGGCGAACATAGATGAGAACTGTACTTAAGTACAGTACTTGAGTAAATGTACTTAAATACTTCCTGTGTCACATGCGGAGGCGGGCTGTGGGCGTGTTTGTGTTGTTTACTAACAAGACTATCATGGCGGCGGCGGAGCTCAAGTCTAGTTTCTCCACCTGGAGATATTCTCACTATTTCACTTTTGTTGAGCACAAAGAAAAGAACGTTTTAGTTAGTGCTGTAGCGACGCGTCGTCGACTTCAAAATATCGTCGGCGACATATTTCCGCGTCGACGCGTCGCTACACACACGTGGGTCACCCAAAGCAACAAGCAGTTCGCAATCGCACTTCAAACACAATGGAGACTGAAACGGCTACCACCTCCTCCTCACAGGATTGCGCACGAAGCCCCCAAACGAAAACATCTCGCCCTAGGTCTTCAAAAGCATGGGAATATTTTAAAGTTAGTCCAAAACGCAAAGATATGTATATATTTATATCTCACTGAGACTGCTGCATAGCCTAGCAGAAGCAGCAGCTAGCTGTGGTGGCTACCATTAGCAGCTAGCATTTGCTCTCCGATTTTTTACATAAAATGGAATTATGGATTATAAATTCAATCATTTTTTTATACATAGACGTTAAAAACCTATGGATTAACCGATTCAGTCGCGTTTTTTCTCATTTTAATGCCATTGAACACGTATTTTGATCAGATTGACAGCTACGGCGGTGAGACGATCTCCCTAGAAGCTCTGTGAAGGTACGTGTTGTGATGACTGTATTTGCTTCCCCTGTCGCGAGTCCGGATCACTCAGTGATGATACTATATACCTACATAATCTGTGGAGTCTCAGCTTTAATCGGATATATTGTATGTGCAGCTACGATAAGTAATAAGGGTACTTTTATCTTGAGTTCTGTGCCAATGTCCGTTAGCATTTTTCGCTCAGGGGTCATTTGGATGCTTCTTATGAGACTTGTGTTTTGTTTTGGTAAACATGGTTTGTATCGTCAATTAGCTGAGATTATTTCCGTTAACCTGGTATAACACATTAATAGGTTCTTAAATATTAAGATCCCCTGAGACACAGTATCGTGAAAAAAATTTTTTTTACATTACGTTTTTTTTACATTACGTTTTTTATGAATTGAACAACAGAAAAATAATCGTTAGATTAGTCGACTAATCGATCAAATAATCGCCCGATTAATCGTTTTCAAAATAATCGTTTCCCCCCAGCACTAGTTTTAGTTAAATGTAAGTTGTGTCTTGGCGGGTCAAAGATCCTATCTACTGCCCAAACCAGTAATTCAAATCTCTTAAAACATCTGCAAAAACAACATGCTGGGACGAAGCTAGTAGCTAAGACCACAGAGACTCAGCCGACGCCACTCCACCTCCACCTAAGCAACAGCGGCTGGATTTTAACCAAGGGACTGCTAGCCAGGGAAAAGTCGATAAAGCCATTGCACGGTATGTTGTAGAACACATGCAGGCTATTGCTACAGTGGAGTCACCCGCTTTCAGGGAGCTAGTTAGCATGATAGCATGTCCGGGCGGCACACGGCATATGGGACGGAAAACTTTTTCGAACTACCTGGAGAAAGAATATACAAAAATGGAAAGCCAGCTAATATCGATGCAATCCAGATTGCATATAAGGCATGTCAAGTTGATCAACAGATTGTATTATTCTCCAATGCAATAACAGTACTGAAATCAAGGCTATAAGGGCATTAATGGGAGCCCTTTTTTGCAAGTAACGAAAACGTTACTTTGCAAAGTAACGCATTATTTTTTTAGTAACTAGTAAAGTAACGGAGTTACTTTTGACATGAAGTAACTATTAATGTAACTAGTTACTGGTTTTCAGTAACTAGCACAACACTGGTCTAGAGGCAAGAGCTTCGGAGCTAAGAGGTGGCGTCACTTACGTCTCTCTTACGTCGAGGCGTGCAGGAAACTAAACCCACCTCCCCTGAACATGGGTCGACTGTCATGCCTGCCTACAAGCAGTAGTGCTTATAAACACACTTTATAAAGTCAGGCAACACTAACCAGGCTTCGTGTGATTCTGTTTATTTGTACCTTACTTTGACCATCCGTTCACTGTTATTGATCATTGTGGAGAGAGGCAGGCGTGTTGTTTTGTATTATAGCAGCTATCGGATGGAATCAATACATGGGCTGCACAGGTTGTCGTGTCCGACTATCACAAGTAGAATCATAATAAAAATACGCCGGTAAAATGTGCCTGAAGAAAACGGTTTATGCCACAATAGGATAGCAATAGCAAGTAGTCAGTTTAGCTTCGGTTGCTATGCTAACATCACCCATTGTATACCAGAGAAACTTTCATAACAGCGTTGTGATACCAAACAGCGTCAATTCAGACTGACACACATTCACTTAGGCTAAGGGGAACTGGGGATATGTATCAGCTGCTTGTGTGAGTCGGACAGTGAATACTTTAGAGCGGCCGCTGCAGTGTGAGATAACCGGGAGCTAACGGGAGAATAAACTCCCGCGGTCGGTAAATGCCGCAAAAACACATTAATAAACAATGAACCACGGCACTCTGGAGAAAAGCATAAGGTTGGAGAAGTCGTTATTTAATTTAATCTGGCTTTGTGTGATTAAAAGCAACACGATCATCGACCCGACGCAGTTGTTGTTGTTGTGAGCGCCGTAACGCCGTTGGGGAGCAAATCAGCGATGTAAACGGTGACGTCATGACGCAGCAGCGGCAGCACCAGTCGGGCTCTGGGCGGTGTGAACAGAGCAGGAGCAGAAAAGGGAAACCGGAGCTGAACCAGAAAAGCTCTAGCTCGGAGCTAGAAAGGGAAAAGCGCTGGTGTGAAAGCCGCATCTGACAGGCATAACATTCGTCACACCATAATCGAATGTCACTGTGCATAGAGGGCCAATAGCACACACTATTTGCACGTGCCAAAACGCGTTCATATGCCAGGTGAGCACCATGCAAGTGTCCCAGGACCTCTGGAACTAAGACAGCAGGAACAACAAACTGAGTAGACTGCCCTGCCTCAGACAGCCAAACAACTCTACATAAAAGTCCCTCCACAAAAGTCAGCCGGGGAAACTCATGCCAAAGTCTCTTCACACCCCGACTAGCATATTTTAACCTCCATCTAGGGGGCCGTTGGCCATGCTCCAACCAGGCCAAAACTTGTCCGATGTCTGCATCCTTTTGCTGGAGCTCCCTAATACCGGAGCCATCATGTGACAGAGTGAAGATTAGGGTCTGGTCCACTGAAGACCCTGAGTCAGGAGAAGGAGGGCCTGAAATCGGTCCCTGGGCTTGGGCCGTGGCAGGAGTCCCCACAGCACACACACTAGGACCACTGTCCCCAGCGCCAGGGAGAATTGTACTCAAGGGAGCGGCTGTGGCATAGAGACTGCCTGAGTTCTC